ATACTATAGAAAAGCACTAAAAGTTTTTCAGTTAGAGTGTTTTCAGCTTGTTTATTTTCATATAAAAATACGGCATGCAGTTGCATCAAACAATGGTATAAACATCATTCAATGTAAATTGTGATAATCGTAATTAATAATCGCAATTACAATTTCAAGGCAATAATCGACAATTATGATTTTTGTCATAATCGTGCAGCCCTCGCTGAGATCATGCCTCCTTCAGAGAATTTAACCCTTATAGGTGAATCATAACTGCTGTAACATGGTCAAATTTGTATAAATACAAAGTTTTAATATAAAGGTATAAACTATATAACATAAACAGTGAGCATATGCTATTTAAAATTCAGCCTGGGCATATTAGGTCTTTTTCTAAACATTTAGCTTAATATTTCGTTTTGTGTCACTTATGTGGCTCTTATGTAGTTTATACATATTTAAGTATTTATTGCCCCTATAAGTAGCTTTGTGTTTCTTACTTTCTGTTTGTAGGTCCTACTACTGCTAACTATTTTTAGCTTGACGCTAATTACTGTACACTTCTGAGAAGCTTTCACACTAGCTTGGCAAGTTTCGGTAAATCCTCCAACACCGCTAGCACTGAGAGAAGCTTCTTTTTCAGAACCAGTTTCATTTTGTAAACACCGGAAACGAATGAACTTCGGTTCCGTTAAAGGTTCTCACACGTTTACTAGTCAGAATACCGTGCTAAACTATTCTGACTGACAGTTTTTTACCGGCAATACTTACTTAATGACGCCGTGACGCGCTATTTATTTTTTAAATAATCTCATCATTTTGCAATAGAATTGATTTTTCTTGTTGAATATTTATTCTCTAAATGTACTAAAATGATCATTAATGTAACTGTTAAGAAACATAATAGCATTCAACATTAATTGACAATCTGTCATTCTGAACTTGTCAGTCTAATGTAATCATTTACTGGCAATATCATTGACACTAAACGTTTCTAAACTTTCCCTTACGTTCTACAGGAAAGTTAGAAACATAGCCACGATGACCATGACCACTGCATCCACTGCCCTCACCATCTTTATTATGAACATACATCGCTGTGGCCCTGAGGCCAAACCCGTCCCAAACTGGGCCAAGAAATTCATCCTGCAGTATCTGGCCAGGATTTGCTTTGTCTACGAAGTTGGCGAGAACTGCATGACTGCACAGCCAGAGAGACTAGACCCTCAACCACCAAAACCGCCCGACTCCAAGTGCAACATGAACAGCCAAGCTGGGAAAGATGACTTTGTGTTCAAATTTGAGCGAAGTCAGGATGCTATGTCTTCAAAGCTTCCAGAAGACATGCCTCAGATCATGGTTCCGGCGTGTTCACTGGGAAAACATCCCACCTGTCGCTATGGCGTGTGGAAGGAGGGAGCGTTCATGAGCACGGATTGTGGTGATGGGGCGGCAGAGGCAGGAAAAGCCACAGGAAGAGGAGAAGATGCAATAGAATTGATTTTTCTTGTTGAATATTTATTCTCTAAATGTACTAAAATGATCATTAATGTAACTGTTAAGAAACATAATAGCATTCAACATTAATTGACAATCTGTCATTCTGAACTTGTCAGTCTAATGTAATCATTTACTGGCAATATCATTGACACTAAACGTTTCTAAACTTTCCCTTACGTTCTACAGGAAAGTTAGAAACATAGCCACGATGACCATGACCACTGCATCCACTGCCCTCACCATCTTTATTATGAACATACATCGCTGTGGCCCTGAGGCCAAACCCGTCCCAAACTGGGCCAAGAAATTCATCCTGCAGTATCTGGCCAGGATTTGCTTTGTCTACGAAGTTGGCGAGAACTGCATGACCGCACAGCCAGAGAGACTAGACCCTCAACCACCAAAACCGCCCGACTCCAACTGCAACATGAACAGCCAAGCTGGGAAAGATGACTTTGTGTTCAAATTTGAGCGAAGTCAGGATGCTATGTCTTCAAAGCTTCCAGAAGACATGCCTCAGATCATGGTTCCGGCGTGTTCACTGGGAAAACATCCCACCTGTCGCTATGGCGTGTGGAAGGAGGGAGCGTTCATGAGCACGGATTGTGGTGATGGGGCGGCAGAGGCAGGAAAAGCCACAGGAAGAGGAGAAGAAGGATGCAGAGATCATGATGATAGGCTCAAAGTGCAGTGCAAGTGTGAGCAGCAGCATCTCATGAGGAATATCGAATATGTCGCAAACTGTTACCGCGATCAGAGGGCGAGGGCGACGGCGAGAAGAACGGGAGAGTGGAAAAAGGTCGCCAAGGTTCTGGACCGATTCTTCATGTAGCTGTTTTTCATTATGGTTTTCTTCATGAGCCTGCTCAAAATGGGGAAAGCCATATGACATGAAATAAGGACACAACTGAAAGGATATAACAGATTATACAGGATGGTGTGCAACCAGTTGGTCATTATCGCAAAACAAGCGCAGACAGAATGATTAGGAGAGGTTTATTTTGCAATAGAAATCAGCTAAATATACGTTATCCCACTTAGTACTGTACAAAAAAATGGACAAAATATATTGAGTTCAAATTATTTTATGTGAGAAAGAAGAGACTATGGCAAGATATTAGAGGTCAAAATGCAGAACTTATTATTCCAAAAAGTATTCCAAAAAGCCGTTTTCTATACATAACGTATGTTAAAGCAATTTAGCCTGCATGCTTTGTGATTGAACAATTGAAATATTCTTTGCTGTTTACAGACATAAATAATTGTGAGTACATGTATATTATGTATTATAAGCTAAGCAAATCCTGTCCTCTCCTCTGATCAAAATGCCTGAAACAGAAGCATTAAAACACTGATGACAGATGTTGTGGTGCTTTGTTGCTTGCGGTAATTTTTCTCCATGTCTCCTGGAGCTTAATCGTCATTTTATCCTTTGCACTCTCAGCTGAAGTATGTCAGCAGTGGATCTCTTGTTCTATCTGTGCATGTCAATATCCTCCCTTTTAAGAGTTAAGTCTTTGTTAATAAAGTCTAACGTCTTTGCAAAGTGTAAAGCATCTTACCCACAATACTATTTTCACTGATTTTATCTCTTTCAAAAAACTCATCCTGATATCTCTTGCTAACGACGATACATTTGTATCAAACTACGGCTATGTACAACAATCGCAGACATGCCTCAGATCATGGTTCCGGCGTGTTCACTGGGAAAACATCCCACCTGTCGCTATGGCGTGTGGAAGGAGCGTTCATGAGCATGGATTGTGGTGATGGGGCGGCAGAGGCAGGAAAAGCCACAGGAAGAGGAGAAGAAGGATGCAGAGATCATGATGATAGGCTCAAAGTGCAGTGCAAGTGTGAGCAGCAGCATCTCATGAGGAATATCGAATATGTCGCAAACTGTTACCGCGATCAGAGGGCGAGGGCGACGGCGAGAAGAACGGGAGAGTGGAAAAAGGTCGCCAAGGTTCTGGACCGATTCTTCATGTAGCTGTTTTTCATTATGGTTTTCTTCATGAGCCTGCTCAAAATGGGGAAAGCCATATGACATGAAATAAGGACACAACTGAAAGGATATAACAGATTATACAGGATGGTGTGCAACCAGTTGGTCATTATCGCAAAACAAGCGCAGACAGAATGATTAGGAGAGGTTTATTTTGCAATAGAAATCAGCTAAATATACGTTATCCCACTTAGTACTGTACAAAAAAATGGACAAAATATATTGAGTTCAAATTATTTTATGTGAGAAAGAAGAGACTATGGCAAGATATTAGAGGTCAAAATGCAGAACTTATTATTCCAAAAAGTATTCCAAAAAGCCGTTTTCTATACATAACGTATGTTAAAGCAATTTAGCCTGCATGCTTTGTGATTGAACAATTGAAATATTCTTTGCTGTTTACAGACATAAATAATTGTGAGTACATGTATATTATGTATTATAAGCTAAGCAAATCCTGTCCTCTCCTCTGATCAAAATGCCTGAAACAGAAGCATTAAAACACTGATGACAGATGTTGTGGTGCTTTGTTGCTTGCGGTAATTTTTCTCCATGTCTCCTGGAGCTTAATCGTCATTTTATCCTTTGCACTCTCAGCTGAAGTATGTCAGCAGTGGATCTCTTTTTCTATCTGTGCATGTCAATATCCTCCCTTTTAAGAGTTAAGTCTTTGTTAATAAAGTCTAACGTCTTTGCAAAGTGTAAAGCATCTTACCCACAATACTATTTTCACTGATTTTATCTCTTTCAAAAAACTCATCCTGATATCTCTTGCTAACGACGATACATTTGTATCAAACTACGGCTATGTACAACAATCGCCCATTTGTGCATTTCCATAAAATGAGGAAGTTCTCTAAAAGAGGAAGGATGCATCTTGTACATAGGCCTATTTGTGAGCTGTTTCTGCAGTTCTAAAAAGCTTACGAGAACACTGTGAATGGTTTGACTTAAAGTGGTAAGGTCACTTTTAATGTTTTATCTTTTAAATACAATTTGAAATTTAGTTTGTTTTATTGACATGACACGTTTTAATATATGTACTGCCAAAGTATTTTTATATACTGTACATTTTACACAAAAAATATTTAGAACAAGTATATATATATTTTGAATATATTTGAAATTGCACAGTTTGTGTAAAAATGTTCTTTTTCTGAAAAATGTTCAATGTCCTTTTTCCGTGCAGATTTGTGGAATACACATATAAAATGCAGATCATTTCAAGCTGCACAATCCTTTCTATGTTAGCATTAAATATTTTGTGTAAAGGTATGTATTGCATGTTTTACAGATATATTTAAGTTTAAATATTTGTGTTAAATGTTTAAAAACAAAAAATACCACTTCACTATGAAATCTATATTTGAAACACTTGTATGTACATCTTATACATTTTGTATTGAAAGTTTATGTAGCTTTAAACACATAAATCTGCATACTGAGCATGGACAGGGAATTACTGTTTTAAGATTTGAGGTTTCTCGTGTCCAGGTTTTTGATCGTATTCTTTTATTGTATTCAAGACCAAAAAGAGGACTGGAGCATCATCTTTGATCCGCCAGAAGTTACTGCAGTTCCAGAATTATGTGCTCTCATTTCATGTACCTTCACTTACCCAAATAATGCAAAACCTATTAATAACGTTGCGTGGTATGTGTGTAAAAACAGTCAATGTAAGCATGAAATCTTCAAGGCGAAAGTGAGTAAAAATATTGAAAACAAATTTGGAGAGAAAGAAACTGAAACTGGACAGATTAAGATGCTTGATCCTGATCTGACCGAAAACAACTGTAGCATTATCATGAAAAACATAAAGGCAGAAGATAAAAATGAATATGCATTCAGAGTGGAGGGGTCAGATTCACATCGAAACACATATAAACCCACAGTCAAACTCATCATTCAAGGTAATTTCTTACTTGGGTTTAGCACTGTTTAAAATATCCTGCTTTTTTCTCTAGTTTGATGTTCTCTTTCAGTTCTCTACTGTTTCATAGAGATATTCAGCTCACACTTCTGAAGTTTTATGATTTCATAATAATAAAAAAAACATTTAAATTAAGAAACTTTAACACATGAATGTGCAAGATTAACCACACCATTCTTTTAATCTCAATACAATTTGCATTTAATTTGTATGATCTGAATCTGTGCTAAAAAAAAAAAGTCATTTAGACTGTGGTAAATGTCTAACTTTTGTTGTGTACCTCTATTTGCAGATGAGCCTATAATGTACGTTCCTCTTCTCAATGAAGGAGAGGAGGCCAATCTGACATGTTCAGCTCCTTTTCCTTGTCCTGAAACTCCTCCTGTAATAACATGGTGGATCAAGACAAGAGAAGGAAACATCATTGATCTAAAGGACAAAATCATCACACTGACCACCTCCAAAAGCATTTACCTCTTAAATTTGACCTTAACTCCAACCTCTGACCTGCACAACACCACTGTAGGATGTGACGTGAGCTACGGAAGCAAAAACATCAGTACAAGTGGGACCCTTGAAGTCATGTGTGAGTTTACAAATCTTAATTTTAACTATAACTGCCCCTAGACCATTACATTAAAATATAGAAATACAACAAAATGTTCCCCAGCAGGCACCGGACGTATATGTAACGTTAGGTTGACATTGGACATGGCGTCAGACAGACGTTGCATTTTGGTTGAAAATGAAAATCGGGTTGACGTCAATATTTGACGTCAATTTGACATTGACTCAGCTGACGTCGGTATTGGACATCAATTTAACATTGACATTAGACGTTGAATTTACATTGAATTTTGGTCACCGGACGTCGCAGCCGAAATGTAACCAAATATCAACGTTTTATGACGTTGTGTGCCTGCTGGGTCAGTTCAGAAGAGCATAGCTATTACTGTTGAGAACAAGCTTCTTTCATCTTCTATTATTTGGATGTTCTGTGATGATCAGAATGTAGAATTAAAAATATTTCTTTCTTGCATACAAGTGAATGTGCTGTCAAAACTAATGCAGTTTCTCATTTTCAGATGTAAAGACTCTTCGAATTCTGGGTAATGGCAAAGTGATGGAAGGTGACACTCTCAGCCTGAACTGCTCTGTTGAGAGTCACCCACCATCATCTGATCATGAATGGAGTTTCAATGGAACCACAGATATAGTCATGAACCAAACATCTGCTGAATCTTTCACAATAACTAATGTGAGAAAGGAGCATGCTGGGGTTTACGGCTGTATGAGGACATATAGAAACAAGATACTGAATGCATCCATCACTGTCGTTGTCATTCGTAAGTAGAACCACATTCCATTGATAACCTAACAATGTCACAGTCTTACAACATCACAAATTACGAAATGAAAATGTGTCAGCAACTGTTGAAATACTGAACTGCGACACATAGTTCCATTAAACATCAGGAGAAGTTCATTGCAGTGTTTGCAGGAGACATACCTAAAGTCAAAATATGTCTTTACTGATTATAAAATCAAATTCATCACATACCAGGTGATACAAATGAATCGAAAGTGAACGAGTCCTTCAGTCCTGGAAGTGAAAACATGCCACTGAATGACACCAGAAATACTACAGGTAGTACTGAGCATTTACACACTGCAGAAACTGCATGTTTATTTCAGGGTGATTATGATTTAGCCATTTAGGACATTTTCTTGTTTGACATTGTTGCAGAACAACACTGCTCTCAACCAATCAGATTTAGGGTAATGGTTAGGTTTAGGATTAGGGCTGGGATTAAGGACTGAACAAAATTCTTATTAAACTATAATTTTTCTCTGATTTTAGAGGCAATTTACGGTTAGATATTGGATTAAATAGATTCCAGGAACAAGCAGTGTTGGGGGTAACGCATTACAAGTAACGTGAGTTACGTAATCAGATTACTTTTTTCAAGTAACTAGTAAAGTAACGCATTACTTTTTAATTTACAAGAGAATATCTGAGTTACTTTTTCAGATAAGTAACGCAAGTTACTTGTTTTTTTCCAATTTATTGATTGACAGCTCTCCTGTTCCCATGTTTAGAAAAATCAGAAGATGTTACTGTAGTTCTAAAATAAATATGAATATGCATTAATTCATCTCACTCATTCACAAAAAAAACCCAAAAAAAACACAGATTCAGTATTCCTCAAAATTAATAAAAATAATGCAACTCAGAATATGACGCAAACCTGCAATAATTAAATGTTAAACAACACAAATATCCTTTATGTATTTAATCCCATTCTATTAACCAATGTCTTTGCTTCTGACCTCCGATGATCCAGTTCAACCGTACTAATAAGCAAAAATTACTCTAGAAAAACATTTGTGTGTCTTTTTTTTTATTGCTGAAGTGTGTTGAAATGTCTTCATCTGCATTCTACTGTACGGATGTAAATGTACTTTCCCTTCAGCCTGAGGCTTATTCATTTCACTTTTGGTGTGAAAAGGCTTTTATATTTGCCAAAAAAAACTTTTTTTATTTTAAAAACAAACAAGCAAGCCCTGTCCAGATTTAAAAAGTAACGCAAAAGTAACGTAACGCATTACTTGCCATAAAAAGTAACTAAGTAACGTAATTAGTTACTTTTTTATGGAGTAACGCAATATTGTAATGCATTACTTTCAAAAGTAACTTTCCCCAACACTGGCAGTGATACAAGAATTTGCTGATGACACAAACAACAAAATATGGTCCTATTTTTAGTAATATTAACATTTTTATCTTATTTTACAACAAATATACCATCAACTGACTGATGGTAATGACATTTTTGCTAGCTGGCATTAATTTAAGTTTTAACAAAAAAAAAATACAGTGAAATTGGCTGTCATGAATTCAGTAATATTCTCTATAATGCTTGAGGTGCTGGTAATGATCGCCGTCCTGCCTTGACTTGTTGACCTGCTCCCGGGCTGAGATATGGCTAGACGGACTTGAAATGTTTAATCGGTTAATCTTCTATACAAAAGCAGTTTTTTTTAAAAATTCAAAACATTCCAGAATGGCAGCAGCTCATTTCAACACACTTTATGACAGTTCCCATAGCCAATATAAGGGTGTGTGTACAACTCTTCTTGGTGACTTGGTGCGATTAAAACATGTCAGCGTATGAAGGGTGTGGGGTTCAAACGACATGATTGTGTCAATGTTGATGAAAGAGCCTGTACTTGGAACGCAGTAGGAAGAATCTAGAATTAAAATACAGTCGATTGTCTCCAACTGAACAACCAGAAACAGGATCTGTGGTTTTACAAAAGCAGTAATGTTTGTTTGGGGAGGTGTGGATGATCACACTAACCTTTCGGAGCCAACCGCCTTTGTGTAGGCTGATGATACAATAGAGCTCCCACCCAAACCTCTCTCTCTTTCTCTGTGCATCTGTACAGATGATCTTGAAGGAAAAGTGAAGTGGTTGGACAACTACCAGAAGGTGAAACAGCTGAAGGAAGCTCTGGTGTGGCTTCCTGTGTGGGAGCAAGACAAGAGGGCGCATGTTCCTGAGGTCTATGTCAAAATCTGTATCTTCAAGCACATTATACTTAATAACGTGTTAATTTTAGTTTGATTTGAATGTATTTATAGAGATTTCAAAGCTGTGCGTGATTAATCCTTAACAGAATCTGAAGCACTTGCTAAAAGCTGTAACTCTGGAGAACCTGGTGTCTCACCGTAGTCTTCTACATGATGGGAAGCTCGTTCTCATAGGTTAGATGGATAAAATGCCTTTTCTGTTTATAAGAGGTCGTGTTGTGTATATTTACATAATCTTCTTTTGCACACAGAAAATGCCAAGATGCATGAGGTCTACCTGTTTCTCTTTGACGAATTCCTTCTAATCACGAAGATCAAGCGAAGCAAAAAGGTGCGGTTATTGATTCGTATTAAGTACGTATATAAAGATTCAAGGAAAGTGACTACTGTTTGGTGTTATCACTGGTAATGCTTAGCAGCCCTGTCTCTGTTGACATAAATCAAAGCATGGGCGACAGTGATGTGAAAATGGATTTGTTGATTCTGTCTGGGAGTAATTATTGATTCAAGCCATTACTCCCTTTTACACGCTAAGGTTGAATAGAGATCAGTGGATTGTGTCAGGTGATAGTACTGTACTGACTACTGTAAATGGAGATTAAAAGTTAATTATGTTTATATGAATATATTTTAACTTAGATGCTGTTACAGAACATAGAACATCTCAACACCACAGGTGCTGACAATGAAAGATAGTTTTGCTAGATAATGCTGAAATGCTGAAAATTCAACATGAAATAAAAGATCTCATTTACTTTCTCAAAATTAATAAAAATAATGCAACTCAGAATATGACGCAAATCTGCAATAATTAAATGTTAAACAACACAAATATTCTTTATGTATTTAATCCCATTCTATTAAGCAATGTCTTTGCTTCTGACCTTCGATGATCCAGTTCAACCGTACTAATAAGCACAAATTACTCTAGACAAACATTTGTGTGTCTTTTTTTATTGCTGAAGTGTGTTGAAATTTCTTCTTCTGCATTCTACTGTACGGACGTAAATTTACATTTCCTTCAGCCTGAGGCTTATTCATTTGACTTTTGGTGTGAAAAGGCTTTTATACAGTATTTGCCAAAAATAGAACTTTTTTATTTTAAAAACAAACAAGCAAGCCCTGTGCAGATTTAAAAAGTAACGGAAAAGTAACGTAATGCATTACTTTCCATAAAAAGTAACTAAGTAACGTAATTAGTTACTTTTTTATGGAGTAACGCAATTTTGTAATGCATTACTTTTAAAAGTAACTTTCCCCAACACTGGGAACAAGTCCTACTTGGCCAAATCTAATACTCCCAACTCTGAACAATAGGTATTTTCTTTATATACTTTTATAGATATTACTAACAATTCTGTGTAAATTCAAGGTATAGAAGATTTCTTGAAGAATTTGGACATGTCAAAGATACTCACATTCGTGGCGGGAATGGCGTGTTCGGCGCTCATCTTCTCAGTTGTTTTATGTTGTTGGGTGTCTTGCCACAGGTAGGCATATCATTTACTTCCTTCTCCTAAAAGGTGCCTAAAAGTTCACCAAACCACATTTGTCCTAATATTTTATAGCGTTTATGTCTCAAGTCTCATCAGCAGAAAATCTTTTCTTAACAGAGGCAAAAAACACAAAGTGCCAACTGCAAATCCGGACGCTGAAGTCAATTTGGAGGTAAGACAGAACCAATATCCGTGATTGAATATGAACATAGGAACCAATATGTGTATATAGAGTATATAGTATTAAAGTTTACAACACAGAATATCCAAATATTGCAGGTTTTGACAGAATCTTCTAATGACTTCCCTGCCATAAATAAATGTCAAAAGAATAAAGATGTGTTTTGTATATATCAGATGGTGCAGACAGACGTAGCTCAGACTGGAACCAATGAGGAAACACCTCTTCGTGGACAGCTTAATGGTGAGAACCCAAACATGGCTGGACCTACAGATGAAGCAGAGGTGGACGAAGCAGTCGGGATGGATGCAAAAGAGGTCGACTACGCCAGCATCGACTACTCCCTTCTAAAGGACAGAGCGCCTGAGGAGGGAGAGAAGGAACCTACTGACACAGACTACGCTGAGATCAAGAGGGACAAGAGAGGAGATGGGAAGGAAAGGACAGTCCTTCAGGATGGAGATGACCAGATTGAAACACAAGACCAGATGGAGGGAGAGGAGGAACTTTATTCTAACTCACAGGAGCTGAAAAGTTAAGGAACTACACCCAACAATATTAAAATTTCTAAGATCATTTTTACATATTAAGTTCAGATGCTTAAGAATGTATTATTTTTTAGCTTTTATGTGTCTAGCATTAATAGTTCGTGCTTGCAACATATGAAATTTCATTAGATTATTCTCTAACATCTGTTTATTTTTTTTTAATTGTGTGAAAACATTAATTTCCCATTTTTTCAAGTTATTTTTTGTTTGTATTAGGCTTTTAATATGCATTTAAGGACGTTTCTGAGCTTTCTGAAACTGTTACAAATTAATTTAAGTAACTTAAATAAAGTTTCTGATAGTTACCTTCAGCTTCATTGCTTTTATTGGTACAAAAGTGTCAGATTCATAAATACTTCAGCATTTAAATGGTTTATTGTTATATGGAGTTGTTATTTGTCAGCATACAGTATAGGGCTTCGGCGATTTGGCAATCAAGGATAGTTTCTGATTCTTCTTTCAAACGACACTTGCCATAAAGTGACTTTTGCAACTGACAGCTTGCAAAGCAAAGATGTGTTGCAATAATTTCACAGAGTCACACATAGGCCATAACGCTTAATCCACAAAACCTGAATAATGGCGAAAAAGATTAGTATTGTCGCACAACAAATAACTAACTGTGAAGACACAAGCAACACCAACAGCATGGCTAAAGTCAGCAAAAAGCAAAAAAAAAATAATAATAATAATAATAACAGGACTGAAACAGTAAATGTCTAACATGCTGCCATGCATGCTGGGAACCCACAAACTTTTAACAGATCAACAAAATTGTACAAAATGACATTGTATGTTCAGACTTACTCCATTTGAGGGAATATTGCTGGTCTAACACTGAAAAGATTAGATTAGTCTAAAAGGTGTGTATGTTTTGATACATGTTGATTCCTCAACAATTGTAAATCATCTCACCTGCTCCTTGCTTTTCTGGGATGACGTGTGCATGAGCAGGATTAGGTCTTAGATAACAGGATTAGAATGTTCCACACACTACAGGGAATCCTTAAATAGCCTGTGAGAGTGTCAGTATCTCGGTTGTCTTGTGTGGTTTGATATTTTCAACCATTTTTCTGTGGTCCACCACACTGGCTGTCATCCTGTATGATCTGAGAGAAGGTACGTGATAGGATGGATGTAGGGAAAACCTCATCAAAGTTCTTATTATCTACTCATTATTGATATAGTATATATTATCTGCTCATTATTCCTTATAGTATCAATTTAAGGTTCATTGTTACTATTTATGGAAAGAAATGTGTAAGTGACTTATTCTCACCTTCTGTTTGCTAATAGTACTATGCTTGGCATGTCGGTTTTGAAATTCAAAATATATTTCTTGCTCAAATCATGTATTTGACTGCCCAATATATCATGTTTAAATGCAACTATCATGATCCTGCAAAAATACAGCTCTACTTGTATAGTTAGATTTTATATTTGTCAGTAAATAAATTACATTTCTTTTGAATAAAATGCATGTTTGTCTGTTTTAAAATGTACATTACATTAAATAAAATAGTACAATATTTTTATAATTGATATTTTATTATTTACATAGTAAAAATTGTGATGTTTTATGATTTGAAATAGAATAAAAAAATAAAAAATGAATTTGATACTTTATTCATTATTTCCAAAAAAAAATTAAAAAAAATGCTACAGTACAATTTAAAAGTTAGGGGTCTGTAATTTTTTTTTTATGTTTTTGAAAAAAGTCTTTTATGTTTCTAATATTTATTTGATCAAATATATAGTAAAACAATGTAATATTATTGCAATTAAAATGAACTATTTTCTATTTTAAAATGTAATTTATTTCTGTGATGCAATGCTGCGTTTTCAGCAGTGTCCATCACATGATCCTTCAGAAATTATTCTAATATGGCTGATTTGCTACTCAAGAAACATTTCTTGTTATTATCAATGTTGAAAACGGTGATAAATGTTTTGTCTTCAAGATTTTTGATGAATATTAAGTTCAAAAGAACAGCATTTATCTAGAAATGGAAACTTTTGTAACATTATAAATGTCTTTACTGTCACGTTTGATAAATTTAATGCATCTTTGCTGAATAAAAGTATAAATTCTTACAGTCCCCAATACTGCTTTCAAACACTGTAAAATATGCGTCTTTGTATTTGTAGATTAGTTATCACCTACCAGACATGGCTGATGTGTTGAGGAGTCTTAACCTGCTGGAAACTCTAAAGGAATCCATAGAGAAGAACAACATTTCGGATATAAGAGATGCATTGGAGGACATGCTGATCAGCAGAATCAACATTGCAATCACTGGGGACAGAAATGCAGAAAAAGCCACTTTCATCAACTCCCTTCGAGGTCTGAGCCAAGAAGATGAAGGAGCAGCCCGCTCCCCATCATCTGCTGCCCCAGAGGAACTAGCCGTATTCCCCAACCCAAAGCATCCTGACTTTCGCCTCTGGGATCTGCCATCCATCTCTTGCGACACATCTTTTGAGGCTGAGGATTATATAGAGCGATTCAAAGTTATGAGATACAACTCCATCATTATCGCATTCACAGAGAAGCCTAGTGTTAACAGTGTGGCATTGTGGAGGGAAGTTAGGTCGCTGCAGAAAGAGACAGTTTACTTCATCTTACTATCATCCATGAAGGATACAGAAAAAACACTGGAGGCGAAGAAGACGGCAAGCTTAGAAGTGCTCAAGGCAGAAGGTGTTCCTCTGCCAAAGGTGTTTCTGGTACAACCTTCAGCTTTGGAGAAACTGGACTTTCTAAAGTTTTTAGAGGTCATGCGAGGTGACCTTCCAGAGATCAGAGCGCATGCTCTTCTTCTAGCACTTCCTACATTCTCCAACTCCTTGGTCACTCAGAAGAAAGATGCCTTCAAGGCACTGGCGTGGGCTGCCGCCTCATTATCCGGTGGCGTTTCTGCCATTCCCGTACCTTTCGTGGCCTCCATGGTAGATGCTACTGTGGGCGTACGGATTCTGACCAAGGCTCAGATCTCACTTTGCCTGGACGATGAGTTTCTTGAGCGACTGGCGAGGCAGCGGGGTCTCGACCCAGCCAGGCTGAAGGCCCTGCGGACATGCGCTCTCTCTGTGGAGGTCAGCAAGAGTGAAGTTAAAAGACGACTCGCGGAAGCCGAGAAAGACACCAGCACTGCAACCACCAGACTTGTGGAACTCGCCATGCCGAGACATGCCAGATCCATCAGCCGATCTTTCACCGTTATGCTGCAGGCACTCAACACTGCTATTGATGATATGGGTGCTGATGCAGAGAAGGTGGTTGCTATGGTAACAGGAGAGGGACAGTAGATTGAGCAGTACTCATTACACAAACTTACATAATTTTACAATCCATTTGGACTGATACCTAAATGGACTATAGCTATAGCATTTAAACTATCAGCAATATATTACTTTAAAAAGAATAACACTCTTCATTTTCATTATTCAGTTGATTAATATCCCTTTAAAATTTGATTTCAGTGCAGTTCATTTTTAATGGCATATCATAAATGCTCATAAGGGATACAAATGACCATACAATAATACTACTTTGAAGTTAATTGAATTGAACAATACTACTACTACTACTACTTATAATAATAATAATAATGTTATTATTATTACATAATTTTATTTCATTGTTAAAATTAATTAAACCAATACAAATATAATATATAGTAATAGTGTACCGTGCAATAAAAATCTCTTTTTGGATTCAAAATGTCTATTATTGCCAAAAGGTTACACGTTTTCATCTCTGTATGTGCATAAAAAAGTCTGTATAGAGTTGATTTGCATGAGAATGTTGTTTAGACTTACTTTAAGGGCAATGGTACACTTCTGCTATTTAAAAAAACTATTAAAGATCACTTCTGTTTCCTTTTCTTGTTCTCTTTCAATATCTTACATGGTCATGACCACATGGATTTCATTTAACCTTTCATTTCCTTCGCATACTGCACAGCTTTTTACAAATTAGTCAAAAGTTCAATTTACCAATTCACAACACCAAACCTGTACATGTGAATTACAGTAAGCACACAGGAAATACAAAGACACAGGCCACAATACATTTGTATGTGTTTCTTCCCTTCGGTTTAACCACAAACTAACTACTGACTGTACAAAAAGGTAAGAATTAAGGTCACATTAGTTCTAGCAAGAATACTTTATTTTCAGAGCTTTATCATCACAATACTGATTTGAATCTAATCTGCATCGAATAGAGCAACAGTCGATGTACTGCACATTTTTGGGATTGGTTTCATGCACTACACGCTTCTGTGTTTCATGCACTGTCATTCTTCTATTTCTGTGTTCTGCACTTGTGGTGACTACTGATAAAAATAGAAATAAGTGTGACCCCTTGTTGTTGTATCTATAATTGTTTCACTTTGGCAGCTTTTTTAAAATGTCTGGTTTTAAACAATTTACTTTGAAAACTTGGTTGAATAGAGTAAATTCAATAATTCAAAACCCCCCATCATTAATATTATTTCTTAAGACCTCCTTTTTGATTTTCTTGATTTTTTAAATACAGTATTATATAATAATTTATCCAGTGAGAAAAAAAAATGATTTGGGACAATCCATTAGGACAGTGAACCAATAAGATGCAACTCTGCTGCCAGCCAAGTATCTAATTTCTTTGAAATCATACCCCTAAATGGATTTAAATTAATTTCTATAAGGACTGCATTTGATTTTAAGGACATTTTTACCCACAAATAACTAATTGCATCTAAGCTGAATCCCATAATTTACAAACACAATTATCATTAATAGTATCGAATGTTTTTGGAAGTCTAAAAAAAAATAAGAGAAGGGTCCAAAACCAAATCATGACAGTCAATTAAATCCAGAACTAATCTTACACTGGATATGTAACAAACCTCATAAACCCAGACTGGCACTCATCAATCAAATCATCAAGGCCATATTTTGCTCGAACAGATGCCAACATATTTTAGTTGTTATTTAATAATGTGATGGGTGCCAGTTTTCAACCAGAAGAGAATCTTTTGGGGGGTTTTGTATTAAAGTAACATGCTCTCTCGTTGATAATAG